CACGGGTCCTCTAAGAAATGAGGAGGCATTCTGCTGGATGGCTTTTAAAATGTTTTCTCCAGAGTCCTCTGCCCCTTTAAGAGCGATTTTTGTCTTAGAAGTCTCTCTTTGAGTTTATAAACAGACATGTCTCCCTGTTCTGTTATGAATGCACTCTGCTGTATTCCTTCGATTAGCCCATCACATTGTCACCATGGCATCTGTACGTGTAGTTTCCACAGTGTTGACATCATCTTCATTGTCCATTGGTGGCATCATGTGGGTGGGGCTTAAAATGTTCCAGATTTTGGAACATTTTGAATTTCAGACTTCTAGAGTAGGGATGGTCAGACTCTACTACTACTTATTTCAGAGAAAAACATAATATCCAAATAACTAATAAAAACTTGGTTGGAGAATGATGACTTCCGGAAACGACTGTGTAATCTGCTTCTGAGAAATAATCCTCTTTGTTCTACCAGGGGAGCCTACTGCTGCTACTGTTTTGTGTCGTCATGTCCCGATCACACAGATGCTGATTTTTTTTTTTTTAGAAAAGAAAACAAGTATATTGAATATGTAAATTTAGGCTGTAATATGTCCTTGAGAAATAAATAAAGATTACATGGACTCCATTTTTTCCTGACAGTCAATTAAGCACAAAAAGATTTTTAAGGCACTGATTTTTTAGATGACAAATGACGTCTCCTTGAAATAAGATTTTTAATGATTTAGAGAAACATTTGCACATACTCTAGCTTAGTGTAGATTCTCAAGTTGGCATTTTTATCCCTGTTTTTTTGAGACAGAGTTTCACTCTTGCTGTCCAGGCTGGAGTGCAATGGTGGGATCTCGGTCCACTGCAACATCCGCCTCCTGGGTTCAAACGATTCTCACGCTTCAGCCTCCCAAGTAGCTGGGATTACAAGTGTGCAGCACCATGCCTGGCTAATTTTAAATTTTTTTTTTTAAGTATAGACAGGGTTTCACCATGGTGGTCAGGTGGTCTTGAGCCCCTGACCTCAAGTGATCCACCTGCCTTGGCCTTCCAAAGTGCTGGGGTTACAGGTGTGAGCCACCGCACCTGGCCTATTGTTTCCCTTTTGCTGTTTTGCTATGGATGATGAATGACTTAAAAGTACTGAACTTCTTACACCTTGATACATTCAGTGAGAGCTTCCTTGTAGGATGGTTCTGAATGATTTTCTCTAGAACCTACATTTGAACATCTTCCTTTTCTCTGCTCATTGTACCAGTCTGTGGATCTCAAAATCATACATGCTGAATAGATGCTACACTATGACTAGTGAAGCCAGTGTGAAAAAGCGGCTTCTACATATAGCACTTCTGAATTACATTATTGCAATAGCTTTTCAAATGCTTTCCCTGATAGGCCGTCCACTGCACGTCATCTGCTAACATGCAAACTATATCTTTAATGAAAGTCAATTTTATTTAATAAATAAGTGATTATAAAATTTTAAAATGAAATTTGATGGTAATTTAATTTGAATCTACATATAGGTTCGAAGAATGAATCTACATCTATACATCTCACCAAAGACAGTGTAAATCTTTGGTGAGGCCGCAAATTCATTTTTGTGAAAATTCTTCATGAGTTTAAAAATCTTCCAATTAAGAAAAGGACAAGTCAAATCTTAGTGTCCTGGTTGGCTTAGCATTTCATAACTACCAGAGAACCATGAGGACCTTCCGGAGACTGACTCATGGGAGTTTATCTGCAACAATTCAGGTCTCCCAGTGGGTCATATTTTCATTGGAGATTATTTACTATGCCTGGAATCCTAACACTTGGTGTCTCTAATGAGAAAAAATAATCTGAAAAATTTCAATATTCAGCCAACATAAATTTATATGATCTACAAAAGAAAGGAATGCTTTCAGCTCCTGGGCTTGATTACTTTTGTTTCTGATGTGACAGATTTGCTGAACAAAGCTGACAAATCCTCCTCTTCCTCTCTGTTCACTACTACGCCCACCCAGAAAACACACGTGCACACCTTCCCAACCAGGTCCCACCTGACTGCTAACACCCACATAAACTCTAGGTCGCCATGCTTTTCTGAGGGACATTGCCTCTGCTGAGGGCTCCTTTATTCTCAGTATCCCTTACGTTCCCAGCCGCAGGAGTGGACTTCTCAATGCTTACAATGTTCCCTTGGAGTATATCAGTTGAGCAGGCAGAAAAAAAATATCTGGAAGTTTATTATTTTTCCACCAATATATTTGACACCACCTTCGGAGAGCGAACAAAAGGCACACTGTGGAGCGGACAGACCCGGGCAAAATGTTACTGTTTGTTCCTCACGAGCACAGAGGTATATTTAAGCAAAGAAAGACATTCCATGGCTCTCCCGGGACTTCCTTCCTTCAGATGAATTCTACCAACACGTTCACACCACTGGGGATCAGGCTGCTGGAATTTAAAACGCAGACCTCTATCTGCCCGTGCTCCAATACCACAGCTACAACCATTCATGTTAGGACTGAACCTGGCTTTCAGTGATCATGAGATAAATGGGAGTTTATTGGGGAAAGAAGTGTTCACCCATGAAACTACAGTAGAAGATGCGGAAACAGGGCTGCCCTTGTTCGGCAGATTCTATGCTAATACAATAGAGCCTCAAAGTCACCAGAAGTCACCTGGCCTTGGGTCATGTTTCAAATCCAGGCTGACTGACATTCATGAAGCCTTTGGCAACACCCACCAAGTTTCGTGCAAGGCTGGGTAGAATGCTTCTTTCATGTGGAGCCTGTGTGAAACTAGTGGCTTTGGCTAGATTTCACCTGCAGTTTCACATTCAAACAATCCAGGGTTTCCAAGTAAAATTAACGGGTGAAGAGAACCAGAGAGAAAACCAAAAACAGGAAAAACATGGCTTGCCTGGGAATGGAATGGTCACCTACCGTTCTCCAAATAGGGGTCATCCTGGTGCTGTGTAATTTGCTGCTGGACTTGCCTCTAGCATATATTTGCACTCAGCACTGCCAGAGCAAGCCTTCCTGTACCTAGTAGGGGCGAGTATTCTAGCTAAACCCTCTCTCCCACAAAGCCCAGACTCAAAATAACGGGAGGATTTAAAATGTTAACTGTACACATCAATACGATGATTAACATGCTTCTTATATTGTAGATTTGAAGGGGAAAAGTAGCAATGAAATGCCTAGGTTTGGGAAATTACAAAATTGTACTAAACATCTCCAAATTCTGGAGATTCCATTGTATCTGCCCCTAATCCAGGGGGATCTCTGCCATATCTTTCCCCACAGCTCCGCCCCTTTGGAGAATGTCCTTGTGGCCACTTACGTCTGTCCTTCTTAGCAAGGTGCAGAGGACAGGGGGCAGACTGCGTCAGCGCTGAGGAGCCATCGTCCTTGACTGGGACTTAAACAGTCTCCTGACAGGATTAGGCTCATTCTCTTCCTAACCTTCAACAGAGCACGCAGGGACGGTTTGCCGGGGAACGTCAAACTCTGTATTTGGCTGAGGACTTTGGAAATACCTTGTCCTTGGGGTGGGCAAGAAAAAGGGAACACATGTGATACGCCCTTGTGCTTTCTTTACAATGAAGAGAATATTTCCAAGTTGACTGGATGGTAAGTGCTACGTGTTGCCCATTTTATGAAACACATTTTTAAGAAATCCCTGATCCCTGACACAGCAGAAGTTTCCCTCATAAAACAGACTTCCGGCTACTGAGGGCTTTTTCCCCCAGTTTTCTTTTGATTTTAATTTTCTTTTTCTTTCTGGTTGTTTTTTCTTCCTTTTTTTTTTTTTTTTTTTTTTTGGTTACTCAGAATATCATTATGTGGTTAAAATTCATGCTTTCCTTTGACATGTGGTCTGCGATACCAATAAACTTTTCTGGAGAAAAAAAATCTCTGGACTCCAAAGATTTCGACATCCATGTTTAAAAAAAGTACCAGTTGGGTCCCAAGGCACACGGAGATACGGAGGCAGCAGGGCAGCCAGGGCCAGGCTCTGTACACCGTCATCTGCTGCTTCCTCTGAGACAGCTGCCAGGCAGGGGCCACGAACTGCCATGAAGTCAATGTCGGGGAGAACCTTACCAGGGAACACTTTTCTTTCAATTGGGCGTCCCTCTAGAAGTAAAATCTAAGATGTATCAGTGAGGAAAACCAAAGCTCCAATCAATTATTCAAAGGAAATGCTATCAAAGCATGAAACCAAATGAAAAAAAAAAAAAGGAGACTTTTCAGTGAACATAGTAAATAGCCACAATCAAAGTGAACGCCGTGTTTGAAGTTAAAGTCCACAGATCAAAGTACTTTGCAAAATGTCAAGCGCAGGCATACAGAGGGCGAGAGGGGAGCCGCCAAAACTGACCCAAAATACCACACTGTCACATCAGAGAAATCTGCCAGCAACTATACCTGGCAAAAGATATTCAGCTTAGTAAGGAATCCTCAAAACAGCCCCCTAGAATGTGCTGGGAACATACAAAACAATGACAACCAAAACAAAACCCCCAAATGCCCCCAAACAACCACTAATTCTACACCAGCAATGAGCAAAACAGGAATGAAAGGAGAACGTCACACAATACAGCCCTCTCACTGCCCTTAGAGAACAATTACTTATCTATGTTCTCTTTACTTAGGTGGATGGTTGCATCTTTTTCCTTTTTTTTAAAAATGCCCCTGGAAAGTTAAAAATAAAGCAGTCTAAACAACAAAAGGATGATGTCTGAAAGATCCTCTCATTGCTTTGGCAATCAGGCTTAATTAGACCTCTGATCCAGGGTCCAGTCACAGTGAGGTCCGTACTGCAGGTCACTGGTCTGAGAACTTTAAGCAAAGTTTAAAATGACAGCCACAAAAGCGCCCCGATGTTCCTGCTCTATTCTGGAACACAATATTTATCTGGGAACTGTTCACAACTCCCCTTTATTATTTTCACTACAAATAAGCTATTTTAAAGACATTCGTCATGAACATATCAGAAAACAATTAAATAATTCCGGAATAAGAAATCTTACCTACAGGCAGCTGAGTTCAACGGTTGCTCTACACAGAGGAAGTAGGAGTCAGTGGCCTTTTCCTTGTAGAGATTATTTAACCCTTTTTAAAAGGTCTTGAACTCCAGAGGTTTAAGATTAAGTCCAATCCAAGTGTCTGAAGGAAAAAAAGGCAAGAGAGTGGCAAATAAGAGAGGGAAAGAATCCCAGCTGCTGGGTGGTGCCACTGTTCTGAGAGCATTGGAGCTATTTGCAGCGTTCACAGCAGCCGGGGTTGTCTGCAGAGGGATGAAAAATCCCTTGCCCGGATCGCCACCCCCCACTCCAGGGGGGAAAACACGCCAGCCAGGAAACCCACAACAACTTGGTTCATTGTGCAAATATTCATTAAATTTTGAGGAAAACTGCCAGCCCCACTGAAAACAAAACAAACCCAAACTTGACTGGAATCTTAAAGAAACACAGTGCCCTGCCATCCTCCTCAAGTTTTCGAGATGAATTACCTGACTCATTGAAAATGAGATGTCCTAGTTATGCTTTATGGAGAAGGAAGGCTTTTCTGCTGAGATTTCCTGGCTTGCTTAGAACGGGCTGTGAAGAAATACTGGAGAGCTCGCTGGTAGCAGTTATCTGCTGCTAGTCTGTTCTTAAGATTGGAGACAGATACTTTCTTTCTAGCATGCACCTAAATTTCCAGTTTCATTAACTATGCTATTTTTGAAAGCTACCGGGATAAGTGTTGACATCTCTTATCTATTGGCAGAGACTGGGGGCCATTCAGTGACATGAGGCAGACAAACAATGACCCCTGCTTCTGCCTCCACAGGCCAGTGAAGGAATCATTCTGGTTGGGTCACTGGCAATGACTGACAAACTTGGAGCTTTCCTTTTGTTTCTGGAATTAAAAATTAAGAAGTTGTATTCATTCATTCATTCATTCAGTAAATATTTATTTGTCAAACACTTCAGAGCTTACTATAAGCCAAGCACTCTGAGAATACAGTGGTTGGCAGAATGAAGTGTCCTTGCCTTCAGGGGTACACAGCACACAGATGCAGCAAGAATAAACAAAAACAGAATTTTTTAAATGTTTTACAGACTTTTTCACATGATGAGGCTATTCACATCATGGAAGCTGAAGACTGAGATCTCTTTCTACTGTGGATGAAGGAACATACTATGCGTCACAGACCAACTTCAGGCTTCCATTGAGTCCTTATGCCTTCACAACACCAACAGGAAGGAAAATTAGTTACTTTCTACCAAAGAAGCAGTTAAGTATTTTTACGAAAGCTTCCACTGCATGTAGATAAAATCCCCGTTTCCTTTCAACTCCCTACTCCCCAATACAAAAAGAATGCTTAGGTAGTCAGAAAGTACTCCTGAGAGGCTTGCCGTCGGGAGATGAAGAAAGTCTTCAACCTGAATCCAGTATAAAAAACCGCCCTGATATATTTCACAATTAATGTGAGGGATGGTTGCTAGATGCTCATATAATTCAATTCTTTCTTTGCAGTTAAGGAAAGACACTGAAATTGATTATGGAAAATACTGATTATGCCATGTAAAAAAAAAATGGTTGCCTGACTACTATTTCAAGCGCTATTTCAAAATAGTGAAATCCTTTGGCTCAACAGACCTTATGTTAAAACTATATTTTACCATGCGCGGTGTCTCATGCCTGTAATCCCAGCACTTTGGGAGGCTGAGGCAGGTGGATCACGAGGTCAGGAGTTTGAGACCAGCCTGGCCAACATGGTGAAACCCTGTCTCTACTAAAAATATAAAAATTAACTGGGTGTGGTGGCAGGTGCCTGTAGTCCCAGCTGCTCTGGAGGCTGAGGCAAGAGAATCCTTTGAATCTGGGAGGCAGAGGTTGCAGTGAGCTTAGATCACACCATTGCACTCCAGCCTGGGTAACAAGAGCGAAACTCCATCTCAAAAACAAAAACAAAAAACAAACAACAACAACAAAACCTTTTTCTTTGTTATTTCTCTTTTTTCTATTTCACAAAGAAGTATATTTAAAATAATTTGGGCCCTGTGTGGTGGCTCACACCTGTAATCCCAGCACATTGGGAGGCTGAGGTGTGAGGACCATTGGAGCCCAGGAGTTAGAAGCCAGCATGGGTAAGATACCAAGACCCCCCTCACTCAAAAAAAAAAAAAAAAAAAAGCTGTATGTGGTGGCATGCGCCTGCAGTCTCAGCCCTCAGGAAGCTGAGGTGGGGGGATCTTGTGTGCCCATGAGTTCGAGGTTACAGCTGAGCTATGATCACGCCACTCCACCAGCCTGGTCACCAGAGTGAGACCTTGTCTCTAAAATATATACATCTAAATAAACGAATTTTTAAAATATAGAATAATTTGAACAGGTTTACATTGGAGTAGATTTCTTATATCTTGGTGAACACTAAAAAGGACCTTGGCATAACCTGCCCTCATATAAAATGAGAATGATAATGAGTTGTCATAGGGCTCAAACAAACAATGCACATAAAATGCTTAACTGAGTAATGTCTGACACACAGCAAGCAACCGATGGAAGTCAGTTCCATCATCACTGCCCTAAGTGTAAAGCTTTGCCATCCAATACGGCGGCTACAGGCGGCTACTGAGCTCCTAAAATGTGGCTATTCAGAACTGAAATGTCACGTGAGTGTAAAACGCATGTCAGATTTTTACACACACACACACAAAGGTGAATGATGAGAAATTACTCAGTGGGTATGATGTTCATTTTTCGGGTGGTGGATACACTCATTAAATCTGACTTTACTACCTACGCAGTATATCCATGTAGCAAAGCTATCCTTGTGTCCCACAAACTTGTACAAATAAAAACAAATTTTTTCTCTTTCTAAAATATGTAAATGATCATCATTTTTATATTGACTGCATGTTGAAAAAAGAACGCAAATCATCACATTAATTTTCATGTGTTTGACAATATTTTGGACATCTTGTGTTAAATAGGATATTTTGTTAAAATTAATTTCATCTGTTTCTTTTTTACTTTTTCAAATCTGACCGCTAGGAAATTTAAACTTACATATGTGACTTGTGTTATATTTCCACTGGGCCGTGCCACGTGGGCCAATGGTTCTTGAAGGGTAGTGAGCATCGTTGACCTGGGAGCTTTGTAAAAACGGATTGCTGTGTCCACCCCAGAGTGTCTGAATCAGTACATCTAGCAGGGTCTGAAATTTTGCATCCTAAACAAGTTTCCAGGTGATTCTTGACCACACTTTGAGAACCGCTGGTCTTGGGCCTTGCCACTTAGAAAAGCAGTCCATGGACCAACCTTAACGTCATCACTTAGGATCTTGGTAGACATGCAAAACCTGAGGCCCCACCCAGACCTACTGAGCAGCATGTGCATTTTCACAACATCCCCAGGCTGTGTGTAAACATGCTGAAACTTGAGAGAAATTGATGTAAAGTAGTGTCTCTCATCCCTGGGTGAATGAATACAAGGTAAACTTTTAAACACACCAGGACCCCGGCCCCACCCCTAGAGAGTCGGATTTAATGACTCTGGAGGTGACTCAAGCATCTGCATATGTGAACAGCTGATTCCAGGGTAAAGCCAGCACTGAGAGTCCCATCAGGCTGGATGTGGAAAGGCCAGGCTCTAGAGACCAGACACTCTTGCTAGTGAGGGGGCAGATGCTTGGGGACTGCCAGGTGTTGGAAAGACAGGTCCTGTGCAGAGGGGGAAGAGAGTTGAACCCACACAGCCAGGGCAATGGGTGGGTGCTGCAGCCAGCGGGGTGAGGGGGAAGCCATGCAGAGGGCCTCCATGCCTCTGCAGGTGTGACAGAGTCCCAGCTGCTCCAGGCGTGGCATTCCACAGAAGGCTGGGTAAAGCAGGGCACATCCTCAGTCTTGGAAAAGCTAGCACCCTAGGGCAAGTTATCTGCGCAGAGACGCAGGCTCTGAGGAATAAGGTAAGGACCTTGCCACAAGAACCCCGGTGTTAAGTCCAAGTGGGGCCAGGAGCCCTGGAAACTGTGTTTCGCAAACACTACATAGCCACAGGTTTGGTTTCAGAGGCTGGGACAGGAATCATCTTTTGGATAGAGATGAGGAGGGAAACAAAAGGATGAAAATGCTGAAAATCAGATTCATTGTATATTTTTTTCTCTCCCTCCCTAACATAATAAAAACACCCGAGAGGGTTCTGGGATGTGTTGGTCCAATTAAAACAATGTACATCATTAAGGCATAGTTGACACAACTCAAACCATATTCCAGGATATTTACATCCCAAGAGAGGATCTTGTTAACCCAAATAACTCTGCAATTGTTAGAACTGGTGAGAAAGACCCATATTTTGGAGTAGAGAGGCCTTCTGTTTTTCTCTACACCTCTGTTCCGGCCTTAAATAAGTGAGCACGCCAGCTTTGAGTGTATCTGAATAACCTCCATAGTTTGCCAAATGACTTCTCACTTTTTCAGGCGGCACCCAAGCATTGTGTGTTTCAGAGAGCCTGGTAAAAATAGAATCCTCACTGCAAGAGAGAATCTGGGCTCACTGTGGTCACATTTAAAACTTCCAATTCTGTATGCAGAGACCATCTGTAGCTTTACTTCTCACTTTCTTGGTTGATCCTTTCAGAAAACTTTTTAAACTGCATAATACTTGAGAGTAGAGAGTGTAGAGGCAGGGTTCCTGGGTTCAAATCCTGATCCTGCCACTTAGGCGTGGCTGTGGCCATAGGTCATTTACTTAGCCTCCCCATACCTCCGTTTTCTCCTCTGTAATGAGACCTTTCTTATTGGGTTGTCGCGAGGGTAAAGATTGTTATCTGAAAGGGCCATGGAAAAGTCTGCTGCTTTGTACATGGTACATGAATGTTGGTTCAATAATCAAAATATATTTGAAAAACTGTGCAGATTTCCATATGTGGCTAAATTTAGTAATTTTTTAAAGATACTGTGGTGATTTCCAAGGACTTTCATGGGCATGATTTTTTGAACACATCTATTCAGAGGGTTTCTTTGAATGTTGTTTTACGTTTTTTTCCCCAAGAGAACACAGAATTCTCAATTGATTCCTCATCGCTTCCTATTATTTGAGGGATCCCGGTAGGAAGGAACTGAATGTCGTTTTCCCATGAGTATTGTTTTCCAGAGAACATTCTTTACCCTTGCAGCCCTTTGAAAAGTGAGTTGTGCTATAGATGTTTCAGCCTTTTCTGGCCCCTGTCCGTTTAGTGGCATTGTCTAATATCCCAGGAGAACAATGTGTTATTCTCTCAGCTAACTATTTTAGTGCTTAGGGAGAGGCAGCAAGACCATCTGAAACACTGGCATGAGTTTCAAAGACATTTTGAAACAGCAGTGAGATTCTCCTATGGAAAGCAGCTACAGCGGACTAACAGAAGGGGCGGGCACTGAAGTGAAGCACATCGTAAGCAAAGCGAAGGCAAGACTAAAGTGGAGTCACACCTTTTCTGCTTGTCCGCTTCAAGCACACTCAACAAAGTGAAGCTGGTGCAAGAAAAAGAAGGGTACCTGGTAGCTTCGGCACGTGGTAAGCATCGTCAGGTCCTCTCCAGGAACCTCCCCCATGGCATGCCACGTGCTGGACAATGCATGCATGTGTTGGGCTGAGAAACGAAAGCCCATCGGTTGAGTAACGTTAGACCAGTCACGCGAGCTCCCTGCACTTGTGTCCTTAAAGGTAGGCAGAGAAATGGAACTGTACCCGCCTCACTAACTCGTAAACCTCTGCTTGTTTGGGCTTATCCGGATGACATTTGGCAGTCTGCCCTGATTTGTGCCTATTGGCGACACTGTCAAACGAGTCAAATCACGTGTCCAGTCACTTCCACTGCCCGGCTTTTGATGTTAAGTAAATGTTTTTGAGGAGGTGATTTGTCAGCATGTGTCATTTTACCATCTGGCGCTGGGGCTTATCAAATGAGGTGAAAGTCTTCACAAAAGGTTAAAGGACATATATCATTGAAAGAGGTTATATGGAAATAATGTCTTAAAACCTTTGTTAAAGCTCAGTTTGCTAGTTGAAACTTTGGTTTCTTTATTTACTATATTTATTTATTTATTTTTGAGATGGAGTCTCACTCTGCTGCCCAGGCTGGAGTGCAGTGGCGCAATCTCGGCTCACTGCAACCTCTGCCACCTGGGTTCAAGCGATTCTCCTGCCTCAGCTCCCAAGTAGCTGGGACCACAGGTGCATGCCACCATGCCTGGCTGATTTTTGTATTTTTAGTAAAGATGGGGTTTCACCATGTTGGCCAGGCTGGTTTCAAACTCCTGGTCTCAGGTGATCCTCCCACCTCGGCCTCCCAAAGTGCTCGAATTACAGGTGTAAGCCACCGTGCCTGGCCTGAAACTTTGTTTTAAACTGGCTCCCTGAATGCTTAGTGAATTTAAAAAGCCCTCCTGCTGTTTACATAACCACAACTTAGCTTTTCTTGTTATTTCTATTCCATTTGAAATGGAGCATATGCAACAGTTGCTAAATCTGATATGAAAATCGTTAAGCCTTCTTCATGTGGCCTGCTGAAGGCCCCGCGTGTCCTGGTGTCCTGCGGCATTTCCCGCCAGATCTCCACCACCTTCCTCCCAGCGCGCTGCCTCCAGCCTCGCCAGCCTCCCTTCCGTTCCTGGACTGTGCCACGTGCAGGGCTCTGGCTCGCGAGGCT